TTCTCAACGGCGCGCTCACGCGACTGCAGTCATGGCTCACGAGTCACGATGAGAGGCGCATTCACGATTAATTCACACCCACCCACCCACAACCCCTTCCGCCGGCGGCTGATTGTCATACTCACACCGAGTGACGACTTCTCGACTCACGACTGCCATTCGCAACATCGCTTTTCCGCTCACCGCTTTGAACAACCTAGCCCTAGCAATCCGCCTCCCATTCACGTTCCTCTGGAGAACAGCTGCTTGTTGCGCATCACCAGCGCAAACCCTGAACAGCAGTAGCAGAGCCTTGCAAGGAGGCAATTGCCTGTCTGCCAGAGCAGCAGCCGAAGGACGTGCAAGCATGCCCGACACGGTGCTCAACGGCCGGCTCTCGCAAGAAGCAAGTGGAACTGCTAGCAAGACGAAGAGCGATGCAACCACCTCCGGATTGGAACATCCAGGAGAACCAAGAGGTGCGTCTCGCGTGCTGGGTAGAGATCCCGAGCCCACTGAGATCGCGACACCGGGGGAAGAGCCCAGGAGCCAGGCATCAGAGAGCAAAGCGGTGGCGAGTGTGGTCACGCAGCAAGCTGAAGATGGACATGCGAAGGGTGACTCGAGCGGCTGCTACGATCCCGCTCCGAGCCAGGGCAAGCAAAAGCGGACTCTGTGGCGCCTTGGAAATTCGGCGGTGAAGGACCACTCTTCGGACTCGGACGATGCAGCTCAACGGCAAACCAAGGAGCTGTATCCTTACACGCTCACCCTCAAGCTACGCTCCGTCGACCCGGCCAAAGATGCCGCAACATTGCCCCGTTCCAAGCTGCCCTCTCATCACGTGCCCACACTTGTCTCTCGAGCCGCACTTGCATCGGATCAAGTTCTCAAGAGAGCGGCTAGAAGCATTCATCCTTTCAAAGCAGATGCGAGCGAAAACGCTGCTCTGCCAGCTGCATGGGATGCCGTGTCGGAAAGAACTAGAGATCGAAGGACTTCCAAACGCATTACTCGCGTGGTGCGCTCAGCTGTTGGCAAAGTGGCTCCCTCCACAATGGCTCCGGATGCCGGCACTGTGGATCTGGTCAACGCCAATTCTGGAGCCCTAGCATCGCTCACTTTTGAGAACCCATGGGATAGCTTTAGGAAACCCAGCGTTGCCGATGCGCTCAACGGAGGGCTCAAGTGGGGTCTGCCAAGAGGCTATGAACAGGGTGGAGGTCGCTCAAGGTACAGAGGCGGAGGTAGGAGGCGCAAAGGTCCAGGAGCGGAGAGCGCAAATGATGTTGGGCCCAACATCGAGGTGAGAAAACCTGATTGGGGCGAGAGACGACTTGAGGACGGGGAGACAGATCTGCCGCTCCAGGCGCGCATCACTTGGTTGGGTCACGCTAGCACATTGGTGCAGCTGCCGCAGGTGCCACGGCCACGCGTTGAGGAGCAAGAGGAAGCTGCAAGCGGAGCGGTTGACGATGCTTCCGACGAAGAGAAGAACCGCGCGACTCGTCGGCCTTTCAATATTCTCATCGACCCTGTATTTAGCGAGCGCTGCTCGCCTTCGCAAGTCGCCGGTCCCATTCGCCACACACCGACTCCATGCGGAGCGTCGGATCTCCCTCCCATCGATGTTATACTCATCAGTCACTCGCACTATGATCATCTTGATCTAGGCAGCATACAGGAGCTTCTCAAGGCTCGCGGTAAAGCTTTGCATGTTCTCGTTCCCCTCGGCAACAAGGCTTGGTTCGAGGCCAATGGGTTCAAGAAGGAACAAGTCAGCGAACTCGATTGGTGGGATGAGGCTTGGTTTTCGATCTCAAAAGAGGGTAATGCAGGTTACAGGATTATCTGCACACCAGCACAGCATGGGAGTGGTGAGTCGTGGGACATTCACATCACACAATTTCGGCTAGATCGTATGCTCACGGATCTCCAATTGTGCGCCGAATCTGGCCACAGGACGAGGACCTGGCGACAAGGACTCCACGCTTTGGTCCAGCTGGCTCATCGAGCGCGTACTTGTAAAGGAGACAAGCACCACCACCGCTCCACCAGGCGTCCTCAACAAGGTTACGACGACCATCACTTCGGCTTTCACCGCCACGAACAATGTTGTCGTCGGCCGCCAACTTGCCAAGGGCGTTTCAGAACCCACTGAAAAAGCAGCCGATGAAGTTCCGACGAGCTCCAAAGTTTCAACACTACCTACTGTGTCCACGTTTGATGATCTAGAAGCGGAAGCCAAGCGGAGGTACAGGATATATTTTGCGGGTGATACTGGCTTGCGAGCGCACAACGAGAGTCGAAAACCAAGAGAACGATACCCGGCTTGCCCAGCATTCAGAGGTGAGCAAGCGGTTGAATGGCTGGCCAACTTCGTCAAACGCTCCGACTGATGCTCGATCCACGCTTGGCGAACTCAGAAATTTCCCTGAGGTACGGCGTTCCGCACGTTCTGCTGCTGCCCATCAGCGTTGGCTCTTCTTTGTCGTACTTTAGATCATGGGACCCTCTGCCTAGACGCTACTCGCCATTCCCTCGCGTCGAGTCTCCCTTGACCAGCGCGATACACATGGATGCTTTTGACGCCGTCGACTGTGCTAGGATCATGGCTTTGCGAATCAGAGCTGGACAAGCAGCTTCCAAGAGTGCATCGCGAGAAGACGACGAGGAGGTGTTGAGGAGAGAAGAGAGAGCTCGCGCTTTGGGTCCAAAGAATGGTGTCACTTGCTTGGCAGTGCATTGTGAGTTTGTAGAGGCGCTTAGGGTTCGCCATTCGCTAGATGCAGATACTTCCAAGGCTGTTGCTGTTCGCTTCGCTGTACGAGTGCGCCTTCCTGACTTTGCTTTTGTCTAATGCACCATGTGCACAGATGGCACGTTCGTACGCAATTCGTCGCAGACTATGGACGATCTTCGAGACCTGGCTCAAGCATGTGCCAAGGCAGCATCCAACGGCTCGGCAAGCTCCATCACACATCCCCACCGACCTCATCTGCATAGACACAACCTTTCTACCGCAACGGCTGCCACTGGACGAACAAACGGCACAGCACAGGGGGACCTCGCGCGCACAAAAAGCAGCAGCGCCAACGTGCTCATCGACCCGACCAACATCGTCGACATGCGCTTCATCCGCACTCAAGAAGGAGCTTTCGAGAGATCAAAGGGAAAGGAGCAAGACATTTTCCTTGTCTCTCATCAGGGAGAGACTGTATGGTTCCCGATTTCGACTTAGATTGCTGCATCTGGCACGTCGAAGAGCACATGGTAGGATCTCGCACTTTCCACTCGCAGAAAGCTGATCGAGGGCATATATGCTCAGCTGTAGATACCACACTAGTCACGTCACTGAGCAATAGCATTCTTCCAAGAGGATAAGGATGGACTGGGGGTTGACAAAGGTATGTCTTGAAATTTGCGGGGCCGTCTATCTCTTGGCGTGCAACATGATGCAAGACACGTAGCGCTCGACAGCTTGTATCCTTGGCACTTTGCGTGCAACGGGTGTGCGCGATGGAGCTCATGCGAGCGGCACGATGCTCTCTCGGATCTTCATGTGTTGCTCTAGGCATGTCGGTGTCCGAAGCGAGGCTCGTCTAGCGAACGTGACCTTACCGGCCGCGCTTGGCTCGGCTTGTCGAATTCCAGCCCTTTGGAGCGCTGCAGTGCAGCCACGAACGACGCATCGTCAGTCTTGCATTTGAACCCGAGTCGGACAATTCGATGAGGCGGGACATTTCTTACCACATGACACAACGGCATGGATGTGATTTCAGCTCTTCGTCTAGCGCTTCGCAGACAGCACTTGCGCCAGCAACATGTCTCGATTCTGTCTGTGAAATTGTCGCACGAAACTTTCTCGGAGCGCTCCGCGAGGCTGTCTGCTTTGTCCTGTCCAACATTCTCGATCCATCTCTCCAAGACTGGCAAGGCCTGAGACGGTGCCAATCTTGGGTCTGACAGCTGCCGAATCTGGTCAGCTGAATTGACGGCTGTCACGAAATAGGTGGGGATGTCCTGCGGCATGGAGTCGGCTCGCAAGAGCAGAACAATGATCCTGAATAGATCGAGCTGTAGACCTCAGCGCCTGGTCACCTTGCGATGCAAGAGCACTCACTGTCTCGAAATGAGCGAGGACAGCTGTTGATGCGCACAACTGGAACCAGTCAGCATCAAATGCTGCCCCACTCGACATTCGCGCCAGCGCTCACTACAGCGATCAACATCATCGCCCCGTGCGAGAAGACGAGAATACACTCGACTAGGTAGGCAGGGGCCAAGAACCTGCTGATGCATGACGAACCGGGTGAGCGCAACAGACCTCTTCCCACCGCCACTGAACACTTCGACTTACATGGCCATTCCAGCCAACGACCACAAGGCGGTGATGAGAGACATCTCAAATGCCAGCACGAACCACTTGGCAAAGCGCCGAACTGGCGTTGGGCAATGCAAGCCGTGACTGGGTACTAGCTCTCTGTGCAGAGCACTGGGGTGGGGTTGTACGAGTCGCTGAGCATCAAGACCGACTACACATCGGTCTCTGAGCCACTCACAGGATCCTGACCGCCAACGTCACCGCAAGGAGAACATCTTGAGCGGCTTTGGAAGAGCAATAGAGGCACGCGAGGGCTAGAGGATGTGCACGAGGGTTGTCAGCTTGCATGTTGCCTCGCAGCGTGGAAGACGGTGACAGCCTCGTCGCACCTCTGACCATTCGACTGTAGTAGAATTCTGGTGTTCGTCGGTCAAGATATACGAGAATTGATAGGAGGGACTGGAAGATGAAGGTCAGGCAAGCCCAGGACACTTGCGTGGTGCGGCAATGGCAATGAAATTCGGCCTGTCAGCGCGCCATGCTACCCGTTGCACCCCGGATTGTGCTTACAGCCGAGGACGCGCCACTTGCGGCCAGCCTTGCAGACGAGGACGCAAAGTTGGATGTAGTAGATTTGACCACAGAGAGAGCAGCAGGCGGAGAGCCACGAGCCCACAGGAATGCTGAAACTGACCAGCGACGAAAAGACCAGAGGGGCGAAATCAGCCTAGAAAAAAGGTCGTCGGGGCTGCAAGATACTTACGGCATGCCATGATGATCAAAGGGCACAGTGGTCACAAACAGGCGATCCAACAAGATGCTGAGCTGAACGGTGTCCGCGGTGCTGCATTGGTACCCAGGTCAATCGTGTGTCGTGGATGTAAAGAGACTTTGTGAGCGACACTTACACGATGACCATCATGGTGATCACCTCATGAGCCAATAGCAAAGGCTTACGTCAGAACGGTCTGGTAGGTCCCTCGAAGCAGCGCGACGTGGAGCTCACCAACCACTTGTTGACTTTGGTGTACGTGGCGCGCGAAGCGGCGTAGCTGAGAGAGACGAGCTTTGCGACGGTCAGCGAGCGCGAACTTGACCTCGCTTGGCCGACGCGCCGATCAACACACCCGTTGGACGATGAGTTGTTGCTTGATGGACCAGCAGCATAGAGCCAGCGCAAGCCCAGAGCCACGCCTATGATGTTGAGCAGAAGGGTGAGAACGATGCCCCACCCCACTGCCCGGTTCGGACTCATGAGCATGTGGTCGAACGGTGGGAAGTGGGCACGCTCACGTCCACATGGGGCTCAGCTGGTGACTTGGACGAGGACACGGGGTGGATGACGAAAGCGGATCGGAGGGCTGGGTTGGCGATGTGTGGATCGAGGATGGGCCCTGACACGAAGAGTCCATGACAAGGCAACCGTCTTTATATCAAGAGGACGTTGCACGGCAGCGCTCGAGCGGCCTTTCCGCGCGATGGGCGCGCACAAGCTTGAGAAGAGGCTGAGCGCTAATGTCGTCGAGCGAGCCGAAAGCAGAGTGCGTGTACGACACACGGCTAGGAACGCGGGCGGTGGAAAGTTGCACCGCAAGGATTACGCCCCGGACTTGATGTTTTGAGTGGCAAGACTACGCGCCAGCTAGGCACGGATGAAAGTCTAAAATAGTCTGATGAGTCGTCGACATCGCGATCGATCGATCGGCTGAATCTGACGTCTGAGCCGAGCGACACCAAAATGTGAGAACAATGGTGAATGAAAATGGATGATTTCTTGATGGGCAAGTCGTGAGTGAGAGGTCATTTGATTTCGACTCGATTCATGTTTGATCGTGATTGGCTACCCTGACTCTAGCTGATCCCCTCGTTGCTGCGACTGCACTGCACGCACAGTAATCAGTGAATCTTGATTTTGATCGAGTGTGCACGCGCTGCTGCTCTTCTTCATTTGATTTTGCATCCTTAATAATCTTCAATGTGAGTCTGAGTGGCGAGTGCGACTGCATGTTCCATATGATGTTTGACCACGGGCGGCAATGGCGGAGCTTGCATCCAGGCCGGGGTCCCAGCACTTGCGACTCGATCGCGGCCGTATGCCGCGCAACGCATTATCGTCGCAA